GAGAGATCTGGACGTGTAATGTTAATTTTACCTGTGATCCTCTGAATAAACCAGTACGGTTATTTTTTATAAAATCTAAAGCGGTCTGCTTCGTCTTATTGTGAGTTCCTGGTTTAAAAGAGCCGGAAGAGGCTTCATAGAGAAATAGAAGCTTATAAGAACGGTGTGAAACTTTTATCATCAGCAATCCGAATAATCAATTAAATCAAGAACTAATTTTATATTGTTAAAGATAATCCCATTCTTCATAAATCCATATTGAGCTGCGTATGACAAGGTCAATAATTCGTCAATAATGTCATCTAAGACAGTTTTTTGCTTTACATGTATTTTATATTGTATATTATGTATTATAATTCTTTTTGACCCACACGGGCTTCCATATAACTCACGTGAACCGGCAGCTGATCATGTGATAACGTCTTGTGACACTTTCTCATCCTCTGACAATCTGCCGACTTTAGCAAGGTAAAAACATTATCCTTTTGAACGGTGTAGTTCATTATAACAAGTGACTAGTAATTTCATCTTAGCTGACATTAGCCAACTTGTCAGCACTATATTTAACTAAATAAGAAATCGCACGTCTAAATTGTTTCGCTTGCCAACATGAGTCTCTGTCTCGCCAAACTCACTTGAAATATCTGACAATTTACCAGAGTTCTTTGTCCTCCATAAAAGAAAATGCTAACTGCTTCCTCAACGGTGAAAAAGCCAGTCCTTTTCAAGCAAACCTACATTAGAGAAGATACTTGAAATAAGCGATGCATCGTACTGTAACAACTCTGATAATTATCTAACAAAGTACAACCAGCTGGCGTGTTTTCTCAAACTTCTAATTTGCTCAGTTTTCATGGCGTACGAAAATATCTGGCGACTGTCACGGTTTTAAAAGCTGTACATTTATGACATTCTTTTATTTCATTTAGAAATCTAGTAAAATGAGATTGGTCATTCTGGATGATTATAACCTGGCCAGTGAGTGGGCAGCAAAATACATTCGCAACAGAATCATCCAGTTCAAGCCTTCTCCTGAAAGATACTTCACTCTGGGCTTGCCCACAGGTGAGCGAGGTCACAAAAACAAAAATGTTCTGGTAGGGTTACTGAGCAAACTTACTCTGGAATATGTATTGTAATACATTAACATATCATTTCTTTCAGGGAGCACTCCTTATGGCTGTTACCAGAAGTTAATCGAATACTACAGAAATGGCGATATTTCGTTCAAATATGTGAAAACTTTTAACATGGATGAATATGTAGGTAAGTACTAATTTATCCCTCAACTGTACTTTAAATTTTAGACATACACCAGTCAACTTCAGAGTTAAGTGTTGCAGGTTTGTAAGCGGCTTTACCCCTGTGTAATGTTGGAGGTTTATTTCATGTCACACTGTGTTTCGGATGTTCACAGATCTGTGAACTACTCTTAAGTCTGTGGCCTGTCTTGAGTGTGTGATGAATGTGCTGTGTATAAACTCATCATTAACCTGCATCATGCATCTGTGCCACTCTTATGCTTTGTGCAACAAGAAAAACAAGCCTCATTCATAAAGCTTCTTATTGTATATCTCTGTTTGTGGTTCGTGAAGCAGAACAGTTTACAGAGCTCCTGCAGCATCTTTTATACTCTCTACATGCACCTCCTGGTCTAAATATGCTCTACCCCACCCTTCTCTCTTTGACCTCCAGCGCCATAGACACTGTTGTATTTGAACCCAGAGAGGTCAGCCTCAGTCACCCCTTCAGAAGCTATAAAACAAAAATAACGAGCAAACCATAGTTTCTTGACACTTGTCTCTGATTAATGACACCTCCAGAAATCATGAACATGCCCAGTACTCCACTGAGGTAACTGTCATACACGTGTCCAGTTCATTAAAACGTGATACATAAACACATGAACCTGTCACAGGGTGTCGTCTTATAAATATGAAACATTAACATTAAAGACTCTTTTCCATCTCCCCCTCTCTGGGGTGTGACAGGTGTTCTCGTGCCACCTTTTAGTCTGGGGCACAAATCTGGGCAGCTGTCCAAATAACAGACTAATAAACCCTCTCAGTTTACTCTAGGCTGCCAATCAATTGAAATGAAATATAACAAGTGTAAAAATGAAATAAAATAAGTAAAACTATAATAGGTAACATAAGTAAAATATAGCAAATATGATAACTGAAATATTTGTAACAAATCTGAAGACTACAGGTATGAGAATAAGACTTGCCCTAATCCTTTAACCCCCTTGGTCTCCCACACAAATAAATACTTTTAAGATAATGAGCAGACTCACTCCAGTTCTTCTCAGAAGTGGAGCAGACTTTCCCCATCCCAGGAAGAGCCATCAGTTTCTTGCAGACTTGGCTTCATAAAGGAATTAACATATTGGAGTTCACACCATTAATTACAGGAAGGCCAACACACCATAGTCACAGTGCCCACAGGTGGCTAAAATGATCATGACTTTCTCTGTTCCTCTTTTCTTTATTTCTAGATTTTTGACTTATGGTAAGAAGAGGGGTAGATTGTGTGAAACATGGAATACAGTAAATCTGTTTTCTGTTTATTTTTTCCTCTGTACCAAACACTGGCAGTCTGGGAATCTCCATTTTCTTTGTTTCTCTATTTTTTATGTGCATGTCCAGTTTTCCTTGTGTTAGTGTTTTTGAGAAATTGACCTACAACAGGCCTTTAATGTAGACAGAAGATGCCATTGTTTGGAAACAGTGGTCACTAAAGTGATTCTACGCCTCAGATTATGAGACTGATCACTGTTTTGTCCATTAACTAATAATAATCGGCCGGTGCCAGACGTTTTGTCCACTCAGACCTGGTACCCCTTTTATCTCACAGAATAAGGTTATTAATAACAAAATAATATGTAATTTGCTACAGTGGGTTACAGTCTGCATTCTTGTAACCCCAAAGGTTTGCAGCAGTTTGTTAGGGCTGGTACATGTCTGGCCCTTAAGATAGAACAGGAAAAAAAAATCTTCTGTGTTTATTCCGGAGGCAAGATTGAGGCACTGCGGCTCTTAGGTTAAAAGATGTCCCTTCCCTTCTCCAGGTCTACCTCGTGATCACCCAGAGAGCTATCACTCCTACATGTGGAACAATTTCTTCAAGCACATTGACATCAATCCAGCAAATGCTCACATCCTGGATGGAAATGCAGAGGACCTGGAGGCAGAGTGTCAGGCCTACGAGCAGAAGATTACGGAAGCCGGAGGAATTGAGTTGTTTGTAGGAGGTCAGGGAATGATTTTTTTTTTAATGTTATGTTGTCTGCCAGATCTCATCATTCAAAGAGAGTCTGTTGGAGATGACATGGGGAATGTTCATTCTTGTGTATGATGTAGAGTTGCTCTCCTCTCATTGTCTTTCTGTAGGTATTGGCCCCGATGGTCACATAGCATTCAATGAGCCAGGCTCCAGCCTTGTTTCCAGGACCAGAGTGAAAACCCTGGCTAAAGACACCATTCTAGCCAATGCTCGTTTCTTTGGTAACGACCTCTCCAAAGTTCCCACTATGGCTCTGACTGTGGGCGTAGGAACAGTCATGGATGCCAAGGAGGTCAGACTGAAAGGCATCTAATTTATTCCTCAGTTGTCCTGCAATAACATAATCGTAAATGAACACAGTAAGCTACTCTGCATTATATGTACTGTACTTACTGTATAATCCTTAAAACCTCTCTTACTTTCAATAAGATCATTAATATATGTGAGGAAGATTAAGTTTCACTGCAATTTCTATGCTGATTCACTTGAATAGTGCAACTATTGGGTGAATTCCAGTGAAATACAACAATGGACAAAGACAAGTGGATAAGATGAAGTCAGTGTGCTTTGCCAGTGTCTTCTTTCTTGTTTAATATTCTCTGGCAGTGCTTATTTTGTAAATTATGAGGTCCCATAATATCACTTGATGATGGACCCAGCCAACATGTTCCCATTAATCAATCAGTAACACTACAAACTTAACCATAACGTCATAAAGGTACACCAAAAATGTTTTACCTGCTAATACATAACCACAAAGTGAACAGACCATGAGCTTTATTATGTTGGGTAGCACATCATAAGTCAAATGATAAACTAGCAACCACAACAATGAATATACAGTATTCTCAAACACTTATCACTCCTGCAGTAGACACACCAGCTGAAAGCTGGTATGATATACATATTTACAGTCGTGGCCAAAAATATTAGCACCCCTGCATTTCTGTCAGATAATGCACCGCTTCTCTGAGGGAATATTTGCAGTCACAAATTCTTATTATTCTCATGTTTATTTCTTTTGTTTGCATTGGACCAACACAGAAAAGCAAAAAAAAAAGCCAAATCTGATCCATTCCACACAAAACTCCAAAAATAGATCGGACAGAATTATTGACACCTTTTCAAATTCATCAGAAATAGTTGTATTTCCAGCCTGTGATGCTCCTTTAATTTGTAATGAAACTCAGCTGTAGCAACCAACAGGTGCTGGTAACATAGAAATCACACTGGCAACCAGTTAAAATCGAGAAAAGTAGACTCGACCTTTGTGTCATGTGGACCACACTGAGTATGGAGAATAGAAAGAAGAGCAAAGAATTGTCTGAGGGTCTGAGAACCACAATAGTGGAAAAGCCTGGACAGTCTCAAGGCTCCAAGTCCATCTCCAGAGATCTGGCTGTTCCTGTGTCCACTGTGCACGACATTGTCAAGTTTACAGCCCATGGCGCCATAGCTAATCTCACTGGATGTGGACAAAAGAGAAAAATAAATGACAGATTGTAATGAAGGGTTGTTTGAATGCTGGATAAAAAAAACTCAATCAACTACCAAACAAATCCAAGCTGAACTGCAGGCACAGGGTGCAACAGCGTCAGCTCGCACTATCTGTCACCATCTGAATATGTCCTTCCATCCAACCAGATGCTGCATTTTCTAGTCATTACCTTATTTGGCCTGCAAAGTTGTTGTTGTTTTTTTTTTCAAGGCTGTTGCATATCTTTTACTGTCAAAGCTCAGTACACTGCCCGTAACTGGCCTCCACCCCACTGTGATTCAGCATTCAAATTGTAAAGTCAAACACAGTGGAAGGTCACTGATGTCCTTGGGTTGCTTTGCTGCTTCAGCCACTGGATGTATTGACTGTATGTATGGCATTATGAAAACTGAAGACTGCCAATATGTTATGGGGCCCAGTATCAGAAAGATGGGTCTTAGAGGAGAACAATAACCCAGACTTCAAAAAGCACCAGAAATGGTTTCAGACAATGAGCTGGAGAGTTCTGAAGTGACGGACAATGAGTCCAGATCTAAATCCCATAGAGCACCTGTGGAGAGATCTCAGAACAGCAGCTGGGAGAAGGAAGCCTTCAAATGTGAGACCTGGAGCAGTTGGCAAAAGAAGAGTGGTCCAGAATTCCAGTAGAGAGGTGGAAGAAACTCACTGATGGTTACAGGAAGTGACTGTTTTCAGTTATTTTGTCCAAAGGGCGGGCTACCAAATATCATTTTTCTGGAGGAAGTGGTGCATTATCTGGCACAAATGCAGGGGTGACCATGAATGTATATCCAGGGCTCTTTGTGATGGGTTGCAGACATCAGACGGTTTTAACAGAATGATGGCCAATCTGGGCTTTGTTCTTATTGGTCCAAAGATGGAATAAAGATAATGGGGGAGAATCCCTGGCCACATAAAGGTACTGCTAGAGGGGGCTTAACTTTGCAAAATATATTTTCCAACTCAGAATGTTTCTGCTTTCCTTGATCTACTACAAGTAGTGGCTGCACTAACAATTGTTGTTGCCCTCAGGTGATGATTCTGATCACAGGAGCACACAAAGCCTTTGCTCTATATAAAGCCATAGAGGAAGGAGTCAACCACATGTGGACAGTATCAGCCTTCCAGCAGCACCCACGCACCATCTTTGTGTGTGATGAGGACGCTACCTTGGAGCTCCGAGTCAAAACTGTAAAATACTTCAAAGGTACCAACAGCACCATCCTAATTCTGTCAAGTAGCAAATAGTCTGGGGAAAAGGGTCGAAAGGGGTCGAATCCAGTGTTTCTTCGAGAAGACTTTTCAGGCACTGGGCAAGAGGATGATGGAGGCACTTTGTGCAGTTTTAGTTCTTTCTTTTCATGCAACACCAGACTTTTGGTTGGTAATTTCTAGGTAAAGGTCACGTAAAACAAGAAGAGTATTAATAAGATGTATTTATTGCACACAAATAACTGTCAAAGCTACCAATTAGTTCACAATCAAAGAAGTTAGAACAAACAGTCTTTAAGAAAAAAAACATAATGAAATATATCAAATAATAAAACTAATAAACTCAAGTTGGTGCAAACTACAATTTGAACTGCTCAGCCCTGAAACAAACTTGCTTTTTTCATAACTATTGGTTATCAAAAAAAACTTGTGTTTTACAAGCGTTAGTTGCTTTATGAGAAATCATCTCGTGTTTACTCAAAATTCATTACAACACTGATTCACTCTGTGATGATGACTTAGCGATCAGTTATGTTAAACTATTATAACGACACTGACACATCATAACATTGGTGTAATGTATTGAAAGTGCAGACGAGGCAAATACAAAACCTCGGTGTACGTACAAAATCCAACAAAAGGGATGTTCTCAGGCTACACACGTTCATGATTTCGATGTGTTCCCAGGTTTGTTCGTTTTTCTTTCCAGAGCTGTCAGAAGTGAATCAGATAGAAGTGGGGAGGACACGCGGAGCTAGATACCTGACACACTCCCAAACGCAAATAATTATTTCTAAATGAGTGTATATTGAATGGTCATATCAGTGTTTTGCAATAATATTTGACAGCAGCAAACACCACTCTAAAAATTTTGCATAAAATTGTATCAAAACCAGTTTGACCAAGAACTGAACACCAGAACCTTCATAGAAGTAGAATTGATTTCAGGATTGTTGGATTAAACTGCATTAGTTTCAACTTGGTGGACCTAGTGTACGGAGAAGTTGTCTACATTTGGGAAAAAGTGCAGCTCTGCTTTTATGCCCAACTGGATCTGATGCTGAAAGTGTGGTATGAAAGCAAACCAACCATCCTTGTAAGTATTATTAATTCACAAGATAAACCTTCATTGAATCTGTGATCTGATTTGCATGTCAGCACATGTATCCCTGATACATTGTAGCTTAACCTAAAATGGATGTACAGTATGTTGTGTGTTTTAATAATTCCATGTTCCAAAGTGAATGAAGTCATATTATGCCCCTAGTTCCTTATGTTTGTCCTCAGTAATACCTCATAGGAGGTCAAGTCAAAAGCCTAAATACAGCAAGTGCTAATAAATCAGGTTGAAACACGTGTATGGATTAAACAACAGAGAGCGACAGGAAGAATGAAATGCTGAGGCTCCCACCTGTGTGACCTGCTTCTTATTCATAGTTTTTAGTCACATGACTGGAGTTGATTATGTAGATTCTGAAAACAGTAGAGTGACGGACTGTGACTGATCAATTAAAGATGTGTTGCATAACAATGAGGTCTCTATGAGCTTGTGGGAATTTTGAACAGTTTGTTGACCTTAATGACCAAATTTTAAATCCAATTGAGTTTCATCATAGCCCATTAGGTTGTACCATTTAGTTTTATCCTAATTACTTTAATTTAGTTTTCATATTATATTTATTCTATGCTTACTCTTATTCTGTTTAGTTTCTTAAATGGTATGGGCATTCAATATTGGTTAAGAGAGAAACAGTATTTCAATTTTTCTGTATGTCCTGCACATATAGTGAATTGACAATAAAAAAAATCTTTGATCTTGATCTATTCAGTACATTATAGGTGGGGAAAAAACCAGTAAAGGGTCTGAGTTGATCCCTGTTAGTCTTTAAAAGTTAACTACAACAATGATAAAAAAGTTAACCTTTTCTAAGTCATCACATGGATGTAATTCTGTCTATAGCAATATATGTGGCACTATATTGGAAAGAGTAGCAGTCATGTCAGTAGGTTTCTGTTAATGTAACATTTTTTTTTTTTTTTTTTTTGCCCTTTTGATTTTCATTGTAGGTTTAATGCATGTTCATAACAAACTGGTAGACCCGGTGCTCAGCATGAAGGACCAGTGAAACAGAGATCACCACAAGAGCTGAAGCCGTCAAGATGGTTAAACATCCCTGGACCCCAAAATGAATGGACAGCACAACTGCTCTGGTTCTGTTTTACACCTGAGAAACTGGTGAGCTAGGTTCTGGGTGACTGTCCTGACTGTGTACATCGTTTTTCATAGACCTAATCTGTGCTTGGACAGTTTTGGTCTCAGACCGTTACAGATCAGAATGAGAGGAAAATGATCAGATGCTTTTCATTTCAAATGTAATCATGCAACAGCTGCACTCATCAACTGTGAAGATAATTTTTAAGCAGTTAAAAGGGTGTGACTGGTTTACTTTTTTAATCACTGCTGGTGGTCTAGGTGGCCCCAGACTGTCTCTGTGAATCAGTACAGTACTGGCCAGAGTAAATAAACTATTTGTATATTGGTGATAGATATTAAAATACTGAGTTATTGCGAAACTTGCTTAGCTTAAATGAATGTGCTCAAAAGGGACCTTTCTTTTTGGTTCAACTTGCTTAGTATAGTTGTTACATTTTTGTATGAGGGGCGCCACAGTCCTCTGTTGCTGGACGCTGAACAAGTCAAAGTGTCGAACCTTCAGTGAAGTTCACTGGAGCTGTCAAAACTACACCCTGTTTAATATTGAGATAAAACCATCTCAAGGTCCACTTATTAGCTTTGTCAGAGCTTTCGGATGTACATTAAGATCTTCATCAGTTACATTTCTTTGCTCAGTTGCTATCATTTGACCAAAGTGTAGAATTTCAATCATTGGCCGACGTATGTGTGTAGATAGTGGTATCCTCTGTTTTTGTTCAGATTCTCAGGTGTCGGATGTAAATTTACTTGGTCTCTCTGTTGTCCACTGACTAGGTTGATGACCCCTTCACTTCTTCCCAGTGGAAGATGTGATTTGTTTTGGTCAGGTGTTCGCAGACAGCCAATATAGTTTGCAGTATGCATTCTGTTGGAGATTGATATGTGGTTGAAAGCCCTGAAAAAGCCAGTGATATGCTTGTTACACATGCTGATCACAAGGTTAAAAATATGTTACTGTATGTGCTGTGATGTGGCTAACAAGCATCAATTCCAACCAGGTAAATGTCACACAATTTTATAAAATATAATTCTGTGATTTATGATTTTTCTGCTTGTAAGGTAAGCCACTCCAATGCAGCAGCTGCTTTTCTCCCCTAAAGTGAATGGTTGGCTACTGTCAGCAGTGTCGTAGTGTCCGACATTATTTACTGTACCTGTAAGATTGGAATGGACTTGATGTGTTTTATTAAAAATATTATTGATTATATTGTGAAACCAAAGACCCATATTTATAATATGTCTTTTTCAGCTGGAAAATTCATGGCACTGTTCTTAAATGGTTCCAGTCATATCTATCCAGTATGAGCTTCTCTGTAATGGTTGGTGATAATGTTTCTTCATGTGCTCCTCTCTCCTGTGGGGTACCACAGGGCTCATTTCTTGGCCACACTCTTTTTTCATTAGGTGCATTTGGCCCAAACAGTTCTAGGGACTGCCTGACTGGGGAGGTCCCCCAAGTACTACATACCGTCACATGCTTTTTTCTGTTTGCATAGTCTGTGTGCATGCGCACACATGGTAGTGTGCTTCATTTGGTGTGTTGGTTAGATTACACTACTAGCTCATTATGTCCTGTGTTTTAACATCATTCTGCGCACACTGATGCATGACAGAAAAAAGAATCTGGTGATTCTGGCTCATGAGAAGGCAGCAGTCAGTAATAGGCATGGATGAGTTTGTCAGAGATTTTGCACACAAAATACAAAACAGACAAAAAACAACCTGCTTGCTTTAATATTATAATAAATCTATATGGGAAAAGGTGAAGTGGTGACAAGTTCATGTAGGAAGTATTTAAAAAAAATGAACAAATTGTAGTTTAAAAACCTCATAGTCAAACTGTAATGTTCATGTAGGTTCAGTTTTGTTCAAGCACTTCAAATGAATCATTTTTCAACATAGATAAATCTACATAAAAGGAAAGGAATTATTTTTTATTTGCCTTTGCTTCTCTAACCCTAACCACCTTTTGGATAAAAACCTAGACAGAATGCTCATGTGTAGTATAAACACGAGATTCTGCTCTGAGTAGTAGTAGTAAATCACAGGTCCACTTAGAGCAGTGTTCAAGCCCGGCATATGGTCTAAAAGGTGCATGTTCAAGACTGTTGTAGTTGGTAGGTTTGTAAAAGTGCACAACTGATAAGTAACACAACGGGCTCATATTTTATTTGGAGTGTGTGCTGTCTTTAGTTCTGTCCAATCACACCAGCTACCCTCATCCCTTTAAAGACCAGGATGGAAACCTGAATGACTGATCTAGGAGAGGAAAGATTCTTTCCCTGGATCTCCTTCTTTTGCCAGTTATGTATTCCATTTCTAGACTGACAGTGACAAAACTATGTATGTAGAAGTACTGCACATGAATATTTACCCAGTAGTCTGCTGATATCACTGACCAGCTCTTTTGCATGGAAGAGAGAAAGTCTTTAATCCTAACCAGCAGCAGTTATATAGTGTCATTTACTCACAGCTGCATCCAGTGTGCAAAATGCATGGGGGTCTTGCATCTACTACTCTACTTCCAGCTGTTCCCGTTAGGGGTAGCCATAGCAAATCCAGTTCGCATGAGTAATTTTGGCAGGTTTTTACGCCAGATGTCCTTCCTGACACAACCCTCTCTATTTATCCGGGCTTGGGACTGGCACAGAAGTCACTGGCATGAAACCCCTTTCTCTAGATACACACTCCATGGGGGACTTGCATACAATTTCATAAATGTTTTACTGTAAAATAATACAATAAAATTTCATTGTAATTATTGCATTTATGGGGAAACTGATTGTAGTCCACCAGAGTGCACAGCCAGTGGAAGTGTTGTCTTATCTCCACCTACTGCTGCTGATCAAACAGCCACAAAATGCAAAAACAGATACAATGTGTTTCCTGGCGGTAGTAACAAAAGTATGTCTGTGTGAAACTTGTTCATTTAAAGAAACTGTACCTTAACAGTGACAGCAGCCACAGGGAGGTTGGACTGACTTTACCTGCTGTATAACAAGATTAATGGAAACGCCTGCAGGGTGTTTGTTATTTATCTTGGCTCATGAGTTGCTTTATGTGTCATTTTTAACATGGATTCCCAAAAATCAGCTGCAGATCACCTCTGGCTGCATCCTGGCTACAAATGATGTGTCCTGATGTGCGCCAACACAGTTTGACCATGTTCATATCTACATACCGAGGACTAGTTTATTTATCTTTTTTAAAAATAATCTTCATGATACACAATAAATTATTCAGAGTGAATTCCAGCACAGCAGTTCTGGATTTACAGATTAACTTTAAATTGATGTAGCCATTAAAACACGTGTATCTGATCTCGTGCTTCCCAGCCTTTGTGCTTGTCAGAAAAAGTGCAAATACACCTTTGACAGCAAAAGAGCCGGTCTGAGCAGGAGTTATCATTGTCGCTACTTCGGGTCCAAAGGAGCACCAGAATTGCACTGCACTGCCTAATGAGTATAACACTAGGCCTTAACTGCTTCTGTCTTCTAACCTCAGTGTAAGCACATTCATTCATGTTAGGGAAATACCGAACACACCAACGCGCAACACAAAGTAGACCTGCACCCGAGGAAAACTGCAGAATGACTGCGAATGAGGCAACGCAGAAACTGTACTGGCAGGAAGATAGAGCCCAATATCTTTTATTCCTTCAAAGTCATTACTACAAATATTATATGAGTCTGGAGAGACATGCATGTAAACTGCTACTTGACTGGCTGGCGGGGACATACAAATGTGAAGCGGTTAATTGTAGTCTGTAACTTAGGATATATCAGAGTATAAACTCTGGCTGCTGGCAAAACAACCATCATTCTTTGTTTATCATTTGACAGAGGTTACAAATGAATTCCATGCAGTGGTTCCTTAACAGAGGCTGGCCCAGTTTGACCTCACTAATGCTGTGAGGTGCTGCCTAGAAAAAAGAACCCTATGAACAATTACATGTTCAGCTATTTAAGGACATGCTTCCTGGTTTGTTACAGTGACCAATAGTGTCCGCAAATCATAAAACTTCTCAAAGGTCACTGTTGATTTTTCAAATCTCAAGTAATTCAAGTGAAATTCAATTGTCTAATTGGGCAGTTGTTCCTATGGAACAAGATGTTGGACAGGCTGAAGGACAGAGTGACAACACAAATTCGCCATACCACATTGTCATGGACAAAAAAGGCACTGCCAGTCATTATTTGCATTTAGAGTTAAATTTAGTTTCTTTTTCCCCTCACATTTGCTAATTATCAGCTCTACTTTTGTGGAAATGCTTGCAGATGTTGAACTTGTCACCTTTTGAAAACTACCGGGTTTATAGATACAGATAACCTATCCAATAAACCAGATTGAAAAGGCCAAAAGCAGTGGGGAAGAATATTCGTGAGTAAGAATCAATTTTGGAAACCCGCACATGCATCCTGTTTTCCCGCCAGGCACCCGAGCGGCAGTCATCAAAGCAGCAGAAGAAGCTGGTGCAGTCTTTTCCATCCAAACACTCATAAGCATAGTCATCCTCCTCATGGTAGGGTACAATGTTGTTCATCTGCAGCAGGGATGCTCCAGGTCGGATATTCATCATACTGGATGCTTTCTGCTGTGGATGAAAACACAGTCAGGAATTTCAGTGTGTTACTATTACATTACAAAATGACATGTTAAAAAGAAAGAAATGTTAAGTACTTGTGTGTTATTGCTGGATTTATTCTTTTTTGTCTGCCTGTTGCTGGTGAAGTAGTGCAGAGTGCCGTACTCCATGAGGGCTGCGAAGGTGAAGATGAAACAGACGGAGACAAACAGGTCCATGGCAGTGACATAGGAGACTTTGGGCAGGGACTTCCTAGAGATGGTGCTTAGAGTTGTCATGGTGAGCACCGTAGTGATACCTAAACGGATTGTCACAGAAACACATTATATATGTAGTTGTAAGTTACTTTTCAGAGAGCATCCAGGTCCTCTGTGGCATCCTATGTGTCTGTGTGTGCATACACTCATTTGGCAGTTTTAGAAAAACTTTGGAGGTGTTGATGCAATGGTGTGGTCATTATGGAGAATGTAGTTGCTGCTGCTGAACTGTACTGCATTATACAGAGATGTTTGGTATTTCGTCTAGCCCCGTTTAAATATAAACGGGGTGGACAAATTAAAACAAACACCTGTCAGTAGTTTACCATCAGCTGAATATACACTTCTCTAAAATAGTTCAAAAAAATTAACACTATCACATCACATCGGGGGTTGCCAAGCTTTTTCAGTGTGAGACCCACTTTCAAAAATATACAATGTCCAGAACTGTAAACTACAGATAATGAACACAACAAACCCTGAATTTAAAATGTAGCCAATATGAAATGCATTTATTTAATTATAAAAGTACATCACATCAAAAATAAAATTGCTGAGACTAATATTACATTTCTCACCACCTTATAAACAAACCTCAATGGCACTGTGACAACAGCATCAAATATAGGCTAATTTTATAGTCATTGCATTCAGAATGGACAGTCCAGCCTTAAGGAGCCCATGGCTTTTCCTCGTTTTCTGACTTATCTACAATGTTACAACAGTGAATTCTCATCCTAGATGTGACCTCAAGCTCAAAAAATTAGATGTTTAGTATTTCTATGCACAAGCAACTCGGTTTATGCACATCGCGCAGACTCTCACTTATGAGACTTTTTTTTTTTTTACAACAAAGTACTACGTGAGAGTTTAAGGATTTCCTTGAATGGTCATAATCTCCAGGCTGTTGTACGCTCATGTGGGCTTGCCTGACATCCACCTGTGCCATTGTAAAAGTTTTTCACCTGTGACTGGTTTTGTGGATATATTTTCCCTCCTGCTGCCTGCACTGTGACAGGAGGATGTGGAGAAAAATACAGAGCCTGAGGTTACTGCATGTCAGGGACTGTTCCTGTACAGGGACTCGCTGTTTTACCTGACTGGGTCTAACCTACAAGCAGTCGATCAGTGAAGCCCCCCACAACGACAAAATGCTTTAAAACACCTGCCACCCACTCACACACTGACGGCACTGGAAGCAACTTGGGGTTCAGTGTCTTGTCCAAGGACAGTTCAGTATGTGCACTGAGGAGACCAGTGATTGAACCTCCAACCCTGTGATTAGTGGACAACTTGCTCTACCCCCAAACCACTGTGAAATTGTGTGAAATCTACATAACATTTTAAAGTATCAGAAAACTTAGCTCCAAATGCTTAGTATTTCTCTGCTTAATATTCATGAATAAATAAGTAATAATCGAATTACAAAGTAATTACAATTACATACTCATGAACTAAGCTAATCTGCATTACCAGGACTGTGGGTGTGGTTTGACCAGATTTAATCAAAAGTGACTAAACAACCCATCAGAGTGAATTAAGAGAGATGTGCTGTGATGACATTTCCACTAACACTGTTTTTAACAGTTTTTTCAACAATTGTGGATTGTGATGCTGACAAACAGTTCTAAACACTAGGACCCATTAGCAGCAGTCTCGTAGAGTTGCAGTGTTTTCAATCCAGTTTTCTAAGGTAAGAAGATGAAAAGGGACGGGCGACTGTGGCTCAGGAGGTAGAGCGGGTCATCTCCTAACTGGAAGATTAGCGGTTCAATTCCTGGCTTGTCTAGTCTATGTGTCCTTGAGCAAGACACAATTTGCTCCTGGTGATGTCACTGGTGCATGAATGTGTTGAATGTGTGAAGTTTAAGACCATTGTATCAAAGATGTAAGAAGAGCAAAAGTAATGGAGGAGCTGGGACAGACAGGATAGTTGTGCTCACTTGGGAATATTGGACTTAC